CTGTCCCCACTCCAACAGCTCCGTCTCCTTCTGCTGGTGGGACCCCCCGAGCTGGAGGCAGCACTGCAGGGGGGTCTCCCCAGAGCAGAGCGCGGCAGAGGGGCACAGTCCCCCCTCGCCCTGCTGGCCACGCTGCTGGGGATGCAGCCAAGGATACGGTTGGCCTCCTGGGCTGCGATAGCACATTGTCAGCTCATGGCCGGCTTTTCACCCCCCAGTACCCCCAAATCCTGCTCGGCAGGGCTGCTTTCCATCCTTTCATCCCCCTGCCGGCGGTTGCCCCAACCCAGGTGCGGGACCCTGCACTTGGCCTTGTTGAACCTCAAGAGGTTCACACAGGCCCACCTCTCCAGCCTGTCCTGGTCCCTGTGGATGGCATCCTGTCCCTCAAGCGTGTAGCTGAAGGTTTTGACACCATCTACACATGGGGGAAATGAGCAGCCAAACATCACTGAAAGATGAAGGCATAAAGAAGTATTTTTTGTGCCACTGTGGCCGATGGATACCACATGCTCACCCCTCTCTGACAGCAACCAGGACATGACAGAGGAACCTTCCCCTCAGGACAGGGACACCACAGCAGAGGCCGAGAGCAGGACAGGCCACAGGGTGGGAGGGGAGGGGAGGTGCTGCTCTGCAGAGCCAAGTTACAGGGAAGGGGAAAGGAGTCAGAGACCCCCACAGACCCTCCTGCACAAACGCACCCCCTGTTCCTCCTCCCACCCCTTCTCAGCATCAAGAGAGGGACAGCAGACCACGAAATGCTGGAATCGCTCTTCCCCTACTGCGAAGGTGGCCAAGGACACAAAACAGAGGCAAAAGGCACTTTCTTGGGGCCTTTGCTGGTGGCTTGGACCCCAAACATGTGGAGGGACGGTGGGGGTTTTTCCAGTATGGCACTACAGCTGAGCACGTCCTACCACGTCCTTTGCATCAAGACTGCTTTGCTATGCACCACCCATCGTTCTTCATTGAAGTCAGAGCTCCGGAAACTTGTAGCAGCTGGAGGCTGCAATAGATACAGCCTCCCCCTTTGATCACATATTCTCTTTGGAGAGTGGTAGGGAAGAAACTTATATCCAGGGATCTTTCCCATAAAGAGAATGGACACCTCTTTTTTTGCTAAGGATCACTGTCATCAATAATAGAAGCCAGAAGTCATTCTTGAGGCTCTTCACCCCAAACTACTTCCTCTTTTGATGCCTTCTGGTTCTTTAGCTGTCCCCAACCACCCAGCCTCTCTGATGGTCACCAGCCTGGCACATTGTACCATGCCCTCCCAGTGTGAGCCTTCACCTTCCGTCTAACCTCTGCCTGGTCAATCCACAACACTGGTCCAACATGTCCTGACTGCAGCTCCTCAACTCAAACCCCTGCCATCAGCCCCAGCACCACCCAACGCAGAAGAGATGCCCCCTTCTTGAGTGCTAGCCTTTGCCTGGGGGATACAACAGGGGTCTGCTGAGACCCCTTGTCACCAGACTCATCTGGTGAAACAAGAGTCCACCTTCACCCCTACCACAAACTGGTAGCACTACCAAGTCCTAGGGAGCACCCAGATGGGAAATCTGAAGGTAGCATCTATCTGGAGATAGATTGGATGGTGACTCCATTCTTGCTCTTGAAGTTATTAGGGAAGATGCTCCATTTAAATGTCACCGAACCCCAGCGAAGATGTAAACAGTCACGATCACGTTTGCTACACTCCAGCACCCACTTCAGCACGGCATTAATGACTACCCAGTGAAGTAGGACAACATCCCTTTTCAGAAACAAAAATTAAACTCCCAACATGGATACTCTCCAACAGCCTGAGTGCCCTCATTTGCATTATGAATTAGTTAAATATGTACACAGTCTTCTGCTGTGGTACAACCTTCCTAAACAAATTCCAGGGATAGGAAAAACAGCCCAAAAGGACCACCCTCCAATCCACACGGAGGAGCTGCATCCAGACCGTGAGCCAACGAAATGGTGGCTGTGAGGACGGAGACTTTTTCTCCGCTGGAGGTGATGCAAGCCTTCTCGTATCTGAACGGGCTGATGTTCCATCCCCAATGAACTGATGACTTGTAGGTCTTCTCTGCGTAAGAAAGCAAACACCTCGACAAATACAGGTGCTGCAAAGCATGTTTTCTAGCAGCTCGGTGACTACCATGGTCAAGGAGCAGTACAGAGGCAGTGCAGAAGGAAGTGCGGAGGTGGACTCCAGAAGAAGGGCTCGACACACTGGCATGAGACAAACTTATCTGCTACTTGCCACAGGAAGATGAAGAAAGAATAAAGCTGCCCCGAGATAACGAGGTAAGATAAGAAGAGTCAAAGTTGAAACAAGCCGAGGGTGTATTGAGCAAGACGGGGCAGAAGGTCACAGCACAGAGGGGAAGAGAACAATGCCGGCGGAAGCGCTCTGTGTTCAGCCACATCAGAAGACACAAGGCTGGAGCAACCCACAAAATCATTTGTGCTACAGAAACTAATTATTTGTTTGACAGGTTTCAGCTGAGCTTGCCCAAACAACGCATCCGTGACACTTCTTGCTCTTCCAGCAATGAAGGAAGGGAGCCGGCTTCCAGGAAGGGCAGAGAAAGAAAGAAAAAAAAAAAGAGAGACCAAGCCTTTATAAAAAGATAAAATTTATTGGTTGGACAGAATGACTTTGCCCCTTGCACTTCTTGTATCAGTCCATCACGAGGGAAAAGCTGAACACGCACGTGACAGACAGCCTGGGGTCACAGAAAACTACCCCAAAGCCGAAGGCAGTGAAGCGCTGTGCAACACACGTCTGCAGGCAGGAGGGCGGCAGCACGAAGCTCTGGGGCTGCCCCAGTGGCCCGTCAGGGGTGGCAGTGACAGCCCAGCCGGCCCCTCTCCGGCAGGTTGGGGCACATTCCCCGCGCACCTCCTCCCCAGCATTGTACTTTTAAATTGATTCCATTAAGCCAGCAAAAAGGGGTTAAGTTAAAACTTAACCTCAATTTGAACCTGATTTACGTGGCTTTGACTTGTACCACTACGTTTACAAGGGCAAATCACAACCCCAAAATAGTTTTAAAACAGTAAAACATATCCAGGCAGGACTCGAGCTCTTGTTTGCCAAACTGGTTCTACCTCTGTCAGTGCAAGTTGGATTTAAGATAAAGCCTTACTCCTCTTTTCACCTGAGGTTCGACATGGTATCTTTGAGCCTGGGCACTTCTCCACAGCATTACTGTGAACTACGCACAGGGACTGTGGCCAGTTCATCCCTTCTACTGCATTAAACCAACGTGATCGATTCCCAGCTCGGAAGTGAGGACAGTGTCAGAAACCCAAGTCCCAGACATCTGGGGACACCCCTCCAGGTGCCGTGGAGGGGCACGAGCCAGCAAAGAACATACGTGACCACTAACCTGAGACACAACAGCCTTTCGTGTCAGTGCATAGAGGTTATCTCACCCAAAAAGACTTAGGACCAAAAAAACCCACTAACACATGTACATATACATATACAATTAGAAAACATTTAATGCAGCATTTTAGAGACTTAAAAAAATAATTTATTTTAAAATAATTTTGATACGTGTGGCCTGCTGAGTTTCCAAGCATCCTCCCCGCCCAAGGCCAACCTTCTCCTCCCTCTCTCAATCATACTGCCCTCTCCCATGTGCACGGTCCTGTTCCTAGACACATTCCGATGCACTCCAAGGAAAAGAAGAATGAGCAGCTCATTACAAGGAAAGAAATTTCAAACATGCGGCTCAGCAAGACGCTTTTTCCAAGTCCTTGGTGTTTTTTCTTTCCCTCTCAGGACAGTCACGAACCCCGCAACGTGCTCCCAGCCTCCCACCACCTCAGCAGTTTGCCACTCGGGGCTCTTGCTTCCTGACCGTGTCCTCTGCCAAGATGGGATCAGCAGCGTGTTTCCCACAAGCAGCAAGAAGGAACATTTTTTGTTTACACTTAAGTGTACTGTTTTCCTTCGCTCTTCAGTCTCTCTGTTCCACCACAGCGGACCTTTGAACCTTTGCGCAGCAACATATTTTAGCGACACGCTCGAGGGCGGCCATACCCTCTGTTCTGGTTCATATCCCCAAGTCGTCGGCAAACGGTCAGCCGGTTTGACGCACCTGCAGCCAACGCCATCTTTTTGGCGCTTGTCCCTTGTGGATCTCCTTTTTGCCTTTGGCCACGTAGTTGGCAGAGGGCTGGACGCCAGAAGCCAAGTAAAGTGAGTTACCTAAATGTTATCATAGGGAACCGCGAGGCCAATGTTGAAGTTGTAACCAGTCACTTCATCGTAGGAAGATCGGCAAATAGGAAGGACGCTTTCTACAGCCAACTGGTCCACTGAGAACTCGTAGGCATAAATGATTCCTCGATGCCTGTACAAAACACAACCAGGACACACCATTTTGCCTTAAATTACATATTTCAACAGGGGATGCAAGCGAAGTTAGGGATTGCCATAAAGGATGAAAACTCAGTGCTTCAGAAGCTGAATATAAAACCCCATCCCTTCAGCACTCTGTGCTGTTTTAAGAGCGAGAACTCCCTCCTCCCTCACAGAATCACAGAATGGTCAGGGTTGGAAGGGACCTCTGGAGATCATCTAGTCCAACCCCCCTGCCAGAGCAGGGTCACCTACAACAGGTTGCACAGGACGGCGTCCAGGAGGGTTTGGAATGTCTCCAGAGTGGGAGACTCCACCACCTCTCTGGGCAGCCTGTGCCACTGCTCCACTACCCTCAAAGTAAAGAAGTTCCTTCTCATGTTAAGATGGAACTTCCTATGTTCAAGTTTATGCCCATTACCCCTCGTCCTATCACTGGGCGCCACTGAAAAAAGACTGCTCCCATCCCCCTGGCATCCTCCCGTTAAGTATTTGTAAGTATTAATAAGATCCCCCCTCAATCTTCTTTTCTCGAGACTAAAGAGACCCAAGTCCCTCAGCCTTTCCTCATATGAGAGATTCTCCTTCCAGGGACCCCACCAAGCCCTGGAAACGAACGGTGATTCATTCACTTCAGCAATGCAGAGACATGACTGTCATCTGCTGAAACATTTCTAATCTATTCAGGAAGGGGGAAGATAAGTACATTGTAGTTTGATAGTTCAATTAGATATGCTAACAGCCACCTGAGATGCAAATACCAAAACCTGCAGTTTAAATACCAGTAGTTTTCCTTTAGGAGAAGGCATTGTTACCAATATTTAGAGCAAGGAAAGGGCTGCATTCCCTGTCTGGCTTCAGTGGCCTTTATATTCCCTTGCTGAAAAAGAAATGGTTTGTTGGGGTTTTTTTTGTGCTCAGAAGTAAATAAAGGGCCAATTCATCAATGGTTTTGAAAGCCTTACCTTTAAACTTGTTTTATTTTATTTTTTAGATGCTATACCTTCTCTATTACTGCTCTGGATCATGACTCAAGTGCTTGGTGTGCCACTTTAAAATAGATAATAAAGCAGATCTTTGCACAGTGCCAAAAATCCTATCCTTCAGAGCTGGCTTACTCACTTGCGGTGTGCAGTAAGGTCATCATCGGTGATGCTGGCGCCTCGGGGAGTTTTGTCATCGGGGATGTTTGCAGTGATGAGGCTATGAGAATTAAACCATACGTGGCGGACTGGATGCCTGAAAAATATCCCACAGCACTGTGTGAGATGCCACCTGCATCAGACTCCTAAAATCCAAGTGCAGTAAAGGAATCACTCTAGATTAAAGAAGAATTCATTTAAATCAGCGCCCTCTCTATGGCCAGAGCCTGGGAACCTGCACCTTTGGCTCTTCTCCTCCTGTCTGGAGCAAACAAACACAGCTTTTATCCCCATCTAGTGGGCTGTTACCAGAACACACGTGGAGGCCAGAAAATATTTGAGACGCTTGGCAGCACACGAGCTGCAAGGGATCCGGGTTGCCTGCTTGCTTCGCTGCTTTAAGGACTGCAGCAGCACACTCCTGGGAAGAGCAGGATGCTTCCCAAAGCGAAGGGATGAGGACACCCAGGACCCCCACGCTCCCACCCCCAAGCACTGAGCTGAGCTATGGCTGACTGAGAAATGCACTGTACGGCACAAGCTAAGAGGTCTGGTGGTCTTTCCTTTTCCTCTCACTAACCCTGAACCACTTTAACAGCATTTACTGTTGAAGTAGGAGTAACTTTTCGTCTCGGATTAAGCCGGCTCATCTCCACGACCCTAACGTGGCTCCTGTTGTCTCCCTTTGTTTCTGCCCTCTCTTTCCATTCATGACACTGGGCTGCTGGCACGGAGAACACCATGCACACCTTCTTATCTAGGGAGGCCTTTCTATATAAACAGTATTTTAAATGTTTAATCTACTAGTTTCACTTTTAGTACACCCCCAAAGCTCAGCAGATCTGCGCAGCCTGCCCTCCCCTCCTTGGCACGCTCATTAGTGCTGCTCCAGGAGACAATCAATGCAATATTGTCCTTAATGCATCAGCCGCATCACAACGGGCTTTATAATTCACAGGGTCAAAAGAGAAGGAGATAACTGCTATTAATCAATGACAGCTCTAGCTTGAACTTCTCTGACTGTAAATACCTCATCTAGCTCCTCTTTAGGGAAGATGCATTAAAAAAAAAAATAAAATCAGGATTTATCTGTTCATTTTATCACAGGTATCACTCAGACTCACAAGGGGCTAAATCCGTGAGGTCTTCATTCAGACAAAGACTCCCGGGACTTGTGCCTTGATCAGGAAATCATCATTTGGCTGTGGCAACTAAGAGTCTTCCGTCAACTCCAGGATACTGATCTCTGCCTGTACTCTCAGTACTGTACCACTTGTGCTTTCAGTACAAACTGGTATTTTAATATTTCTATGAGTTTAAATACCAGCCTGGCTTTGATCGTTACTGCTAAGGGAACGCATGACTGAGGTGAACAGAAACACAGGTATTGTGTGAGGAAACAGCAGAGACAGCCGGAACCAGTCACTCTGAAGACAACAGCCAGGAGTCCAGCGTTTGAAATCCAAGGCTCGGTGAAGTAAATACGGGCTGGGGCAGGGAGAAGACACTAACTGAACTTCACAGACAATCCAGGAGAAACAATTTCCCCGCTCCCTTACGCCGACTGAAGCACTCTCTTTAACTAATGAGTAAAAAGCCTCCGACAGCTAAAGGGCACACACAGAAACACGCACAAGACTCCAGGTGGGGAGGCAATCTGTTCCCAAATCACATGAAAACTAACAGAACTCTCAGAAGCTTTAGACACAGGCATGCCATCGTTTTGGTCCTGGATCATCCCATTCCCACATTCCTCCTGTCAGCCAGATCCAACAAACACCCCTGCAATAGGGCCCCGGGCAGACAAAATTACCTGGCATGCATCTCCCAGAGTTTGGTGCCCATCCGTTGGTCCCACACACAGACCAAGCCCTCTTCTCCTCCGCTGACGATCTTCCAGTCATCCATCTGGACCGCAGACACTCCTAACTGGTGGGCATAGAGGGAGCACAAAGATTCACTTTTGCGGAGATCGAACACCCTGACCCTAAACAAAAGCAAATAAAGAACAGATAAAACCAGCTGTGGATCTGCAGCCTGCGGGTTCTGAAAGCACAAGTACTTTTGGGGTTATGAGAATACGGTCCAGGACAGCAGCAGTCCCACAGCCACTACAGGGCCAGAAACCCAATACGGTTGACAATTTTCACCGCTGAATTGTCACTCCGACTTCTAATATCTCACATTTTTTGAGGCAGACTTCTCCTACTGTACAGGACCTCTCTGTCTCTTAACAAGACAAGTGAAATTTGGAGAAAGCTCCTCTATCTGTGCCACCCAAAACATCAGCAATGCCATGAGGCATAAAGTACCATGTTTAGGGCATACTGCTAACGCATCCTACCCCTTGGCACCTCACCTGCATCCACTATGGCCACGGGGTAATATGATTATGAGGGTCAAGGAAAGAACTGTTATTACAAAGACTGAAGAAGGGACTAAATGTGTGGCAATTCAAGAGACGAGCCAAGGGAATCATCGGTTTACACGCTTGAGTTATTCACCAACATTGAAACAAAGCTATCCACAAGCACCCAACCAGTATCTCTTCTGAAAAGATTTCAAAAACACCACCAGTGACTGTGGGCAGCTTTTAGGTACATCTGATCTTTCAGAAATTACTGAACGCTCGGACAAGGCATTTTGAAGCGAAACTTTATCAAAGACCAGGCTACGCCTAATGAAGCGGAACTGCAGAAAAAGAGCTTAGATTTCAACCACTGCAACAAGTCCTCAAAACCAGCTAAAGCTGATGGTGTTAAGTTTTAAATCCAGTACATATCACAAAGGAGTATGGGGTTTGATCCTTATATATCAAGATTAAGAGATAAAGCAAAGTACATAAGCGAGTAAAAAATGCAGCAAGTGAAAACAGAAGTAAAAGGAAAATACTGATCTCAGATTTGAAGAGAAGCCAGAGAAAGTTCCTCCCAGCTGATGGCTATCAAGAACGAAACCATCAGGTACACATTAATTCCAGAAAAGGCCAAAATACACTTGTTCCAACACATTAACTGTACTGTATTCCACACCCCTGCTACGATCCTAATGGCGTTGCATGTCATTCCTTTTCCTTTTTCAAATGGAGATTGCATCATATGATTTTACAAATAACACATTTCAGCAACTGAAATAAAAGGCAACAGAACAGTCCAAAACTCCAACAGAGCAACATCCATCTGACATGTCGAAAAACATGCTGGAACAGAGCGAGGAGCACGCTTTGTGTGGCTCTGCACTCACCCTTAGGAAAACCCCACCACAACAGTTGCTGATGGCGAAAAGGACTTCTTGCTTCCTCCAACTCCAGCAGAGAGGAGCTTTGGCTACATATTAGAGCTGTGCTTTGGGTAAGGATGGGCTATTTTGGAAGTGTTCGCACCCACCGCTCTCCCCGTCTCACTGCATGTGTTCCGCACGGCAATCAAAGCTTCTTCTGTTTGGTAAGCACAGTTGGAAACGAAGATCTGATTGTGTCCTGGTTATTTCATTAGCGAGGGCCCAGGTTTCAGGCAGGTGTCCATTCTGGCACACCCTTGGAAGAATTAGAGGCATACTTGAGTTGTTTAGATGTGCTTTAAAAAAAGAAGGGGGAAAGCATTTTGCAAATCTAATGTGATGCTCTAACGCAGATCTGGCACGACCTGCCGTCTCCTGCCTCAGCAGCTGGGCTCAGTGGGAGCACATCAGATTCAACCGAGCTCAAGGGAGCCGTCAGGAAGGTGTTCTCATGACAAAGCTTTGTCTCTCCTGGTAGACTATCTTAGAAGCTCACTTGCTTTCAGGAAGGCACGGCATACATGTTTTGATTCACACCTTTCAGCGCTGGTACACACTGGGCTTGTCACGTGTTTGCTTTCCCAGCGCCATGCACCATCTCAGGTGGACCAAGAAAAAGGCTGCTGGGGTGCAGTGCGTCAGCACACGCTCCCTCTCATCACACCTCTTGCCAGTGTGAAGCACAGCTAAGTAATCAAATACATGAGCAACGCTTCAGGAGTAATTTTTTTTGATGGAAAGAGATTTTATGGGCCCTACCAAAACCAATTTCACTTCAACGGGGTGGTCTGTGTTACTTTTCAAAATCACTGCTTTGAATAAGAGAGTAGCATATACTAGTGAAAATGGGAAAGTGCTGTATTTAATTCCAGCAATACGTTTCCCCGCTGACCATCAGCAGTTTGAACCCCCAGGGCAAGGTCCCTGTTTAGTACACGTGCTCCGTGACGGGGCTAGGGAGGTTCAAGCCGCATCCCACCTGCGTATGCCCAGCACCTATTGACACCCTTCCCGCAGCACCACGTGAGGAACTGACCTCTGAGGTACACCCGGTCTTGTCTCCTGGATGCCAAACTTACTTGCTGAACTACTGATGCCACACTTCTTCCTGTTTTGGTGCCGGCCAACCTGAACTCAGTCAATACTTGAGCTGGAAAACTGAAAAGCTTTCTGGAGGGGGAAGGCACAGACATTTCCTCTAGTATGAAGGGAGTGAATTTCAATCTCACCTAAGGGATATCAATTTTATCTATTCTCCCATTGTTGCGCAAGAGATCAAAATTGGAGGTTGTTTTTATTGGGGTGCTTTGGAAAATCAAGTATCTGCTTTTAGAGGAAAAAAAACCCTCCCAAGGATTCAATTACACCTGTCAAACTTCAAATATTTCCTTTATTCCTTTTGCTGAGAAAGTGCGAGGTTCGCTTGCGCTGCCTATTCACCGAGAAGGGGAAAAAAAAAAAGCCGTTTGACAAAATAATCATTTTTGCAAGCTGCTGCACTGGCGGGACAGAGGTCTGGGATTTGGCAAAGGGAAGTATCCGCCTTACAATCTGATACCCACCACCACACCAGACCACCACCTGCAGCCCAGTGCCCAGTGCAGAAAGGAGGAGGGAAGGAACAGGGAGCCATTAGAGACTGGCTCCTCGCCATCCCACATCTCCTTTGGTGCACTGGATCAGACCCCACAAATAACTAGCCAAAAAAAGAAAACCTAAAAATTGGACTCAAAGGGTCTTTTTAAGCACTTTAATCCTTTTGCACTGACTGTTCCCAGCGCGTCCATTCCTGGCACCAGATATTGTGCGGGGAAAATCCTACTCCCCAAGCCAAGGAGTTAAAGAGAAAGCTGCTAATCAGCTAAATAGAAGCTGGAATCTGTTCATATGAAAGTCTCTTTTTTTTTTTTGTCACCTGAGGGACAACACAGTGTTCCGAAATACACTCTTGACATCATTTGGCAGACGGACCCATCTCATCCTACATGATTCATCCCTTAGGTTATTTTTTTAATATCAGAAAGTGAGCTTTTAAATGCCAAACTAATTTTGCGGGTGGTGGTGGGGAAGTGGAAGATATTCCAAGTGGTCTCGCTGGGCTGTACACCAACTGCGTCCACCAAATGGCTTAAAAAGAAAGTCTTCCCATGGAGCTTTCTGAAACAAAGCAAACTGGCAGCCACATCCAACTATTACCTAATATTTTGTTCCTGAAGTTCACGCAGGCTGCATTTGAAACATTAGAGGAGAAACAAATTCTAGCAGGTCCAGCTGTAGGACAGCAGGACAGGAAGTCAGATAATTTGAGATGGGTTACAGCTCTTGGTAGTACCTACCTTCTGTCTTTATTGCCTGTAACAAGCATGTTTGGAGGACTGTTCTGGAGGTTGACACACGTAAAGTCACCCAACGAGTTGCCCATCTTCTTCAGACACTGACTTGTTTCCAGATTGTACAGAAGAATCTGGCAGAAAGAGAACAAACACCGGCTAAACGTAGCACGAGCACAACAGTTACATTTTGCTGCAGCATAAAGCAGAGCAGTTATTCCCATCAGAGATGCTCTGCAGGACTCGTTTCTCAATACTCTAATGCATAACCAAGATACAGATCTACCCCTATCAAGAAGAACAACAACCCGGTCTCAAAAATCAGGAAATATAGTTTCCCGATGGAATCCATCGAGCAGCAGGGATGCGATGCTCTTGCGACCGGTATGGGTATAGCTGTCGGGCAGGCAAAGCAAGCCATACAAGATTTTCTCCAGGTCAAATTTTTAAGGCTTACGTGGAAAAAGCAAACAGTTTCTTCAGCAATTTTAACATTTGAAAGACAGAATCAACATTTAGAAGGTTTAGACAGATGGACTGTGCAAGAAAGATTCAATCAAATACAGCAAAAACTGAAGAGCAGAACCGAAGACTGACTCAGCGCTGACAAGCCCTGCCGATAGCTTTTGTACAGATCATGCGGCAGGAACAGATTAAGAGAAATATTACATCTGAAGTGGCAGTTCAGATGGGAAAGGAACAAAAACAACTCTGATTTTAAGCAACATCCAAGACGATTCGACCAGAGCCTGGGAGAGAGGTACGAGTTGTTTTCTGCCTATTCACACTCCTCTCCACTGCGCAGGAATCAGTTTAATCACGTCCACTGTCTTTCCTGTGTGGCCAGATGAGATTTATCTATTTGGGCCTTTCAATTTCGGAGAGCAAGTATTTTTAGAAGCAGAAGAACATACTGGTCAAAGCCCAGTGGAGCTCAGCGCAGTGCCTGTTTTTATGTAACTTCATAAACATTATTAAATTTCATGGTGATGCTCCTTTAATTTAAAAGAAACCTATGACCATGAAAAGAGTAACGGTAGTTAAAACATCAGAAAAAAAACCCTTATGGCTTCCATGGCAACATCAGCATGGCTATGTCAATGTCACATCAATATTCTTAATTTCTATTTTCCTGATTATATCCACACGCAGGTTAATAAATATTACACCATCAGTACCTGTTATTTCAGCATTTGCCAAAACAGCCACAGTGATGCTGCCTGGCCTTTTCCTTCCTATCCGTGCAACTTCAGGAAGCATCTGAAAGGTTGAATTAAGAGAGGAGAGGGTCGTTTTGTGATGGATGCCTCCAGGCACCCAAATGAACCTTTAAAAATCTCCAGGAATACCGCAAAGGACGGCAGGGTTTTTCCACCTGCTGCTTCTCCCAACTAACCAGGTTGGTAGTCAGACGTATCACCAGCTCCCTATTAGAATCAACACATTCAGACCCAACTGCTTCAGTTGCTTATAATATTTATCATCTCCCAAGCAGTTCCCTTTCCCAGCCTTGTCTCTGTGAAACTATCTGCCTGAAATCCCAGTCTTTAGCATGTAACTTTTCATCCTTAAGGCCCCAAAACCAAAAGCCGTTTTACCCAAGCTCTGTAAAGCAAGACAGACTCGACCTTTGCAGGGAGATTTAGGACATAAAAGTTGCTAAAAAAATTAATCTAAGCTTCCATACCTACCAAAAAGTTGCTACAAACTGCATGAAAATGTTAGTCTTCAAGGTTAAAACCAATTTACAGCCTGTTCTCACTTGCAGCACAGCTTCCAACGGCTCACTAACCAAACCCAGAGATAATGACATTCTGGCAAAGGTACTTTGTGTGGTTTTCAGTGCGAAGGAAATTAATATCTGTGCCTGGCAACCAAATTTCTCCTTGGAAAGTTCTGAACAAAAGACAAAGTCAATAAACCGCTGAATTCAACTTACAAACAATAAACAATCGGGTCAAGAGCGCCGTATTCCAGCTCCCAGTCGAGCCTCCGAACCAGCCCTTCCCAGCTGCACGCTAACGCTCCGGAGAGGAGAGGGCCAAACGCAGCTTTCTCAAAAGTCCCCTGGGGCTAATACTTAAAGTGAACATCCATAAACTATTAATTTATCTAAATGACCATAGCTCCCATCTATCCTATAAACATACGATACATACTTGAAAATTCAGTTACGGCCACGAAAGACTATCATGAAAAACTGCTTCCACGTAGCATTTAATGGTTTCCGGAGCAAATATTACACATTCTCCTGCTTGCAGTCTCAATTTTAGACCTGTGGCAATCCTCATACGTAGGTCGCACCAGTCGAAAAATTATGTATTTCTCCTCACGTAACTTATAGATGGCCACCAATTTAAAGTGTTCGCATCTAAGAATGAGAATCTGTAATAAAAATAAAGGTTCAGATCCAAAAAACTGGAAGAAAAGCTTTTGTCTTATCTTCTCCTACCCCCTCCAGTTCCTTCTCTTCTCACATCAGTCTCCATTCTTTTAAAGGCTGTTGGGTTGGTTTGTGGTGTTTTTTTTTAAATTTTATAATGCACACATGTATTTCGAGTCAATTAGCCCTATAATTGGAAGAAAGATTCTCTTTGTGATTTTTGCTATCCAGGTTTTACCGATCTTTAAATTCGGCTTCTGTCTTGAGCAATTTTATGGTCTGCAAATGAATTCCAAAACCTTATCCTGACAAACAGATAGGTAAAGAGACAAAAAACTCAGAATGCTTTTTAAAGTCTGAATGACACTTCCTTGAAGACCGGGGTTTTAAAAGCATACCGACGACAATTTTGAAGTTGCTAGAACACTTCTGATGAGCTCTCCTGTAATATCCCAAGGCAACATGGATTTTCTTCACAAAGGCCAAGGAGAAAGAATGAAAATACCTGGTCAATAGGGACTTGAAATAAGGGCCTGTATGTTAAAGGGCAGATAAAGCATAAGATCTTTAGGAGGTTTATAATCCTATAATGCACACTGCAAAGGGATTACCCTTTTAAAGATATTTATAATCCTATAATGGACACCCAAGACCAGTGACCTAATAGGTACCGAACGGAAGGTAAGCGAACCAAGAGCATTTGGGTGTGAAATGAAGCACCCTGGGATAACACACTAACGAGCAGCCCTTCCCCCAGTGGGACCTGGGGGACACAAGGGAGGAAAAGCATTAAATACTCTGTGCAGATGTATCAGGATCTAAGGCACAAAATAAAAAGTGTTACCTATTAACATTGTTCAAATGAAAAACTCTAAGTTATTGGATAAGAGCCAAGCAATCTCCCAGAATGCTTAATAATTCAACAAGCCCGAAATAGCCAGAGTACCTTTACCATTATGTTTAGTTAAAGACCACAGAGATTAGAAAACACATTATCCATCTCAGAGGCGATTCTTTCCATGTTACAAGTCCCTTAACGACCTTTACCATCTCTCCCTCTCTCTCTCTCTCTTTTAATAAGGCTGAGCAAATGGGACTTCATTTTATCCGATTGCCACAGACTAGTGGTATTAATTATTCATGCTCGTACTCTCTCTTTTGTTAAGGCAGTGCATTAGACTAATTTCCCCTCTTTACTGTGCGAGTTGGGCAAGTCTCAACCTGTGGCCACCGTTCTGGGCTAGACGCGCCGAGAAGCTGGCAAATTCACCAGCCCAGGCAGAGGAAGAAAGGAAAAGTTACTGTACTTCAGGAAACAGCGGGTACGGGGAACTCTCTTTAAATGCTGTCCAAGAACTCAGGAAAGAAGACTAAATTAATTCACAAAGAATGAAAGTCTCCGCAGCCAGAATAGCTAAGCTGCGAGCTTTGTTACATCTTGCAGCTAAGTGAGGTCAAGCATGGTCGATGTACTCTGGTTGAGATACTTCCAAGAAAAACCAAGGAACTGAAGGAAATGCTGTTGATGGAACTCTTCCATGCATGTCCAATACCCCAGCAGGTGTTTTGGGATCCTGTGTTGTTGGAGATGTCTTTTTTTGGATGGAACATTAAAACAACAAATCCCCAAGCACTTGTTATCAAAGAGCCTGTGGTACTTTCAACAAGAGCAGGGGTGTTCAACCCACTGTCCTGGCTGAAAGCCAGCAGACAACTGCTTCGCGAAATAGCTCCTTTCCCTCTGCAATCGCGTTTCTGCTTCTTGTCAGGAGTTACCACATCGCACGGCTAGTGAAAACCGAGCTGTCTCTCAGAACCGGGCAAAACACTCCGTATGTACGGAATATTTAATTCTTATTTAGACGAAGCATTGAATGGAGCATCATAAAATATTAGCAAAAAGTACATCATGAAACCACACTCAAAACCTACATCCTTTTCCTCACTGAATAACACACAGGATACATTACAGAATCCCTTTCTCAGGAAGAACCATCTAGGAGAGAGGTTTTAACTGTCATTTCAGAGACAGAAGATCAAAACAAAAAAATCTGAGGTGCTCAAAGATGCAGAGGAACAAGAAGCAAGATTGGGAACAGAATTTGCATTTATTTTCAGATTATGTTTCTCCACCTTTCCTTCTGCCCATCACTCTGCCAAGCAGAAAAAAAAAAAAAAAAAAAAAACGTTGCCTAAATACACACAAATATTGCCAACAAAAGAAAGGGTTGTGAAATTTCAAGTCCACCACGAATAAAAGGGGGATCTGGTTTTTGCTCAGGTCAAACCCATTCAATTCAAAGGGTATCTATAAAAGCAATAAGGTTATTTCAACATGCATTTGCGGCAGAAGTCATCAAATCAAGTACAACATATGGTACACAACACTGCAAGTTTGAATTTTATTTCTAAAAGGATGTGGAAAAAAAATATTTTCAAAGTTTACAAGCCCCAGGGGCACAGTTTCCCAGTGCAAATGTATTGAATCGCCTACTGTAAATATGGCACATAACACTGCAACAGCAACAAAAAAAATTTGACTATTAACAAATGCAAGGTCAGCATATTGATACTTGTACACAGAGATAAGTGTTCTGGCTCCATAAATTTGAAGATGAGCTAAGATTTAAAAGGAGCAGCTGAGGGAGACAGACAGACAATCAGAGAGAAAGAAAAAGAGTAAATCATACACAAAACAGCCAGTAAAAAAAAAATAAATAAAAAAAGCAGTTAATATACATGAATAATGGA